CACACCATTCTGTTTCTGCATATGTCTGTCCTGTATGAATCCTCTAAAAGGCGCCAAGCCCGTCCCAGGCCCCACCATGATAACAGGTGTCACTGATTTAAACGGCAGACGGAACTGGGTTTTACGGACAAAGATTGGAACGCGAGGAGGTTCTCCTTCTGCAAAGGAAGAAAATGTAGAAGAAAAATTATGAAATCTGCCCAATAACTACAATCATGGACAAAAGTTCTTGAGACAGTAATGCAATATTTATATTTTTCTGTCATTTCTCGGTTCCCTCATTAAACAGTGCATCCTTTTCGGAATTTTCTTGCAGTTCTCCCTCCCCCCACCCTTTACAAACTTGAAACTCGGAAAAAATTCGGGATACACGTGTCCAACATTGTTTGTGGGGTGAGGCGAAGGGTTGGACCTGTGTGAATTGGTAAACGCCTCAGAAATGCAAAAGTGTCCCAAGACTTTTGTCGATGATTGCAGATGAAAAGCATTTAATAGAGCCAAAACCGAATTGGTGGAATTGCACCTGAGTGTGAGACCTTCCTTAAGGGTTATCACAAATGACGTAGCGGTCGTCGTCGGTAAAATCTCCCGAATGAACAAAAGCAATACAACATGGAATCCAACGCGACGGGAGCGGCATTAATAACTCACAATCAGTCGTCACCTTCTATCTCGGGCTGTATTTCACTTTATCATATTTTTTTATATAAAGCCACGCTAAGTGAATCAAACGTGCATTAAGCGTTTGATGGCCGCTTAATAGAGGTGACAACTATAGGAGAAATCTCGTCGGGATGGCCAAAAGGTGACCGCGACCGCCTAATAGAGGTTTCATTTTCAATTGGTTTCTGCAATTGTTACATGGAGATTTAGGGAATAGTCTGTTTGTTAGGTATTATTTCGTGCAAAAGAGTACTCACCTTTGGGCCTCTTGGTTGATAGCCAGGTAGTGGCCACACCCTTCTGCACCCTACCACTTGATGTGGTCCATCGTACAAGTATAGCAGTGATGTGAATGGAGTTCGGGTACATCTTTTAAAAAGCAAAGCACGAAAAATCATACCTTAAACCGCAGCAAGGACCAGACAGTGTCATCAAATTCCGGTACTTTTAATTGTCACAGTATATTTAATCAGAGATAAGAGAAATGCGGTCGTTTCAACTTAATATTTACCGTACTCTTGTGTGAAAACGAGATACAATAGGCGTAACAGAAGAACACAAACTTGTTCGAAAATTTTCATCATCTGTCGTTCCACAAATTATCAGATTCCCTAAGACTAAAAAATCCTATACTTTAAGAATATTCAGACCCCCCCCCCCCCCCCCCCAAAAAAAAAAAAATTTTTCAAAAAAAACCCCGGCAAAAACCAAAAAAAAAAATTTAAAAAAAAAAAAAGAAGTGATAAAAAAAGAAATTTTTTTAAAAAACAATTGTATATCTCTACCTCTCAAGGAGGGACCCGCGGTATAGTGCCACATAGGACACG